GTCGATCGCCTTCAAGGTGGCGACTCCATCCTTGCTCAACCGTCGGTCACACTTTTTGGCCAACCGCACGAATTTCTCCACCCCCTGTGCTCCGCACAGGCGGCAGAACCAGAGACCACGGAAATTCTCGATCCTGTGCGAGATATCAATCAGGAACGGCCTGCCAGGGCACAATGAGGTCGAGAACTCTTCCAAAGCTCGGACCCCGACTTGGTCCAGGCAGACCGCACATTTCCAGCCCTTGGAGTTTCTGAAAATCTTGTGCTCAGATTCCCTCAAAAGCTGAGGGGTGGCTTGCGCCTTGGCTTTAGCCTTGGCAACAGCACGAGCGTGGACATCTCCTTTAAGAGTGGTCCCGTAGAAATCCTTAGCATTCTTAGCAACTTCGAGGGCTACCGCAACTAAATGCTTTTGAACTCGCCAGGCCAACTTGTCGGCCTCCTGCACTTGCCCGACAAGGCTGAAAGGGGGTCCAGCTTCCTGGGCGGCTTTCTCGGCCAACTTGTCGGCCTGGTCATTCGCAAACCAAAATTCCCAGGGAAAGCCTGGGCCCACAGCAGATCTGTCTTGGTGACTTTTCACCTTGACGAGTCTTAGCTCTCCTACACGAGAGTGCACTGCCTGCCAATATTGGGCCCAGAGGTCAGCATTACTTCTATACTTGTGTTGGGGTCCGTGCTGGGCTCCCTTATATACATAGGAAGCGTCAACTACATAAGTGCCGTCCCCTGAAGTGGTTTCAAGGGCTCTAATTACTGCTAGCAGCTCGGCTCGGGGTACTGTCTGGCGCCAGCCAGCCATCGTGCCTCTTAAAGAGGCCAGGACCGTCTCCCCAGAGCAGATGGCGAAGGCCCAACCTACACGGCGCAAACGAGGATCCTGTCCGTGTTCTCCCCCCGAGCCGTCACCGCCTAGTACACATCCTACTGGAAGTGGAAAACGGCCCTCCTCGGGCCACTCTCCCTCTCGCACTGTACTTTCTTCTGGTAGAGGGGTGTCCGCTGGGGGCATCGTCCATAAAATGGGAACTAAACCTCTTAGCCAGAAGCAAGGATAAGTTTCTGCACCTATCTTCGCTTGCTCACAGAGATGCCGATCTTCTTCGAAATCGGGAATGTCTCTATTGCAGGGGCATTCCCAAAGTTGGTGGTATAAAGTCTCACTTGCGGCACCGCATCTAGGGCACACTGTCGTGCCTACTCCAGTGTTTTCAAAACGACGCTGATTGGGCCACAAGGCCCCTTGGCTGACCATTTCAAGTATGGCAGCCATGTGATCTAAACCTTTATTTCTTAATCTCTTGAGATGGGCCCAAGTCACAGTTAAATCCACCCCGTACTCCACCCCCGAGCCCGAGACATGTTTACTGGCTTGGGCCCACACATTCTGCTCCAGTGAAGACCCTACTTCAAAATCCAGCCTGTCTAGGCCGTCAACACCTTCAAAACTAAACTTTTCCCCGCATGGGATGGTCCATTCCCCTGGGGTGTTTGGGGTCCAATTCATATCTAAAAGAGTGGCCTGTACAGCTGCCATATGACCTTTGACCAGGAGCCAGCTGTTCTCCGAGTCGCGCAGCTTGGGCAGGGACTCCTGCCAGGCCTTGTCGATGGCAGCGCGCCACTCAGGGATCCTTGGGAGGTGGTCCTGCCAGGCCTGCAAGAGCTCCAAAGGTCCCCAGAAAAGAGGGTCACTTCGTTTTCCTAAACTAATCCTAATGGCCGTGGTCGCACAGCCTCCAGCCCACTTGCTTCCACACATGGATGAAACCTGGGCCCTCAGCTTTCGAAGATTGGTGGGCGCAAGGCCCATCGCCACGGCTCCCCAGGACACCTGCGGTGTGTGGCCAGTGTTGGCCAGCTTTTTGGAAGCTTTCACACTCTTCCCCAAGACTCGGATGGCCGTGGCTCTCCTAGCGGCTTTTTGGTGTCTTGTTTTGATGGTCCCTTGCGTCCTGCTGGCAGTAGATACATCAACACCCAAATCTCGAGCAGACAGTTCAACTCTGATCGGTAGGCCCAGCTGCTTCACTCTTTTCTTCAACTCACTGCGAACTGAAGGAGAGCTTGCCAGACCAACTGACTTTTTTGAAATTCGTAATCCTTTGCTGGTCATGCTGGTGGTCAGCTTGATAGCAACTTCCGTAGCCTGGTCTATCACTCCACGAGCTGTGCCCACATTCAACTGAGCGAGGTCGTCTACCCAACTGCCGATGGAATTACGAGGAGGTGGATGTGACCTATGTATGTTGTCGAGCATATCCCACAGATAAATCCTAGACCAGGCAACGCTCTGCATGCATCCTGCGATGATGGAATGCGCGGCTTGTACACTGTCCGATAGGAGCGAGCCTACTGCCATCCATCGGTCCGCCATGTGCTGCAACATGGCGAGATAAAAGGGCACTAACGGGTAGTCCAAGTCCACTGCTAAGCCTGTTAAGATCTGTCCCTGGATAAGGTCATAAAACTTCTCCGCGTCCCAAAGAAGCTGAACCCAACTAATATTTAATATGCCACATGCTTCTGCTTTTAATTGTCTTAGCACTGCTGCTCGAAGTGGGCTGCTACCTTTCACTGCTGCGCCCCAAAAACCTGCTTTGCTGCGCTCCCAAGTTTGAACAGCTTGCTTTCTTAGAACGCTCCAAACTCGATATGGCCCTGGCGTTAGAGTAATTGGTCGGTCTCCCCCTGGCGGTGGCTTGGGTGTCAAGGCAAGGACATTGACTAAGCTCTGTACTGGCCAACTCAACTGCGCCTCAACCTCGCCGAAAAACTCAAGCAACTGCTCCTGTCCTACTTCAGGAAGCATAAGCCACTGCCTAGGGTTCCACGGGTCTGCTCCAAGGCCTGCGCGGTACTTGAAATATCGCAAACTCTGCTGCAAGTCTGGGAGCGTGAGCTCTGGAAGAGGTTGCTCAACCTGTTGAGCTCGCGCTGCGTCTCGGAGACTTCGTAGCCAAAAAGGAAAAGGTTGTTTTGGTCCTCCTACATCTCCTCCCCATAACTTTGCCCACCTGTCCGCCTTCACCTTCATCATCTCCAGGGGTTTCAGGATTTCGGCTCCTCCCTCATCTCGTTCGACAGCTAAACTGGGCTCCTCCACCTGCCATGTCCTGGAAAACCTGTGTGCCCAACTTGCCCCTGAACTGAGACTCTGGCTGAGAAACTTCCGAAAACCCATGCTTTTCTCCTTCATTGCGGCGATGGATACCTTAGCCAAGACCTCCTTGGCTGCATTCAAAACTTCGCGGATGTCCTCCTTGCTACAAGGAGGCGATGTCAAAGCTGCGAGGATCTTGTCACCTGCGAGCCTAGCTGATTCAGGTACTGCTGTGATGTATTGCGGTGTGTGCGTGCTCTTGCCCCACATGCCAAGCTGATGTACTATGGATGTGCGCTGTGTAGATACCGTACTTGTGCCAGTTTTGTCAGCCAAAATGTACAGCTCCTGGAACCTCGACCGAATACCTCCCCAGAAACAGACCTCTTCAGATCTACCAAAATGTCCAGGCGGTTTTACAGCGGTAAGATTTTTCACAGTTACTTCTGGGCACATCCCTCGCTTGTGTGGGCTGGGTTCCCGCCCTGAGCGATTTAGCAAAAAAGGCCTCTGCCTGCATGGAGAAGTTGGCGTACATGCGGCTGAGGCTGTCGGAGGTAGCTTCCTCCCACACATAGTAGTCTCGTGGTGCCTCGACAGCACCTGCTTCCTGCTGAAAATGTTCCCACGACAGATCTGGTCCAAACGCGTGGTTGAGTATGGGCGTGACGGGCACCATAACACGGCCTTCTAGAGCTTCCTGAGACAGATCTAGCTTCCCAAAAACTCCCAAGTGTGGTGCCCAAGGTCCCTGAAAGTCCAGAGCCAGCGTAACCAGGGAAGTGAGGTGCTCCGAGACGACTCCAAAGTCCAGAACCCTTCCAGAGCCTCCAGCATTGGTAAACTCTCCCGGTGGCGTGACGATGCTGCCCCTGACGAAAGATGGCCATCCTGAGTCCCAGAGGTCCTTCGGGGTCATGTTCCAGTCCGCCATTACTATGTAGTGCTTAGCTACGGTGAGTAGATAACCTGCGAGTTCTTCTAGAATGAGGCCGTTGGTGCCGACAACCCCCTCGGAGTCATGCAAATAAACTGCTACAAACGTGATCTCCAGGCCCTTGAACCTGACATTCCTTCCTGCCCATTGGGTGCCAAAAAACTGAGCTTGCCCATCAGGTCCTACTCTGCATGGGTAACTCACCTGGGAATGGATGGTGGTCCTAGCTAGGACCCAGACTCCTCCGTGCCCCAGTGCGCCTTCCGTGGCCGTCGGGACCGCAGGCGAGGAGGTGGATAACCACCCCGCTTTTTTGAGCTTTTTCTGTTCCTGGAGAAGGGATCCGCCACGAAGATGAGTTTCGGCACCCATATGGAACAGGACATCTTGCATATGTTCTGCTGCTAAATAACATCGTGCTATTCCACTTCGTATAGTTGGCGAAGTAAAAAGAAAAATGCTCAGCGCCGCCACGTTGCTGAGCATCTGGTGCATCTGGTTTCTGCCGCCGACGATGTCCACGGCTGCTAAAGCTGCTGCTGCTTCTCTTGCTCGAACTTGGCTTTGGCTGCTTCCAAGATCTTTTGCACCTGGTCCTCAGAGACTGCGGGTTTAGCTGCTTCAGAAGCCGCCTTCGAGTCCGCCGCCCCCGCCGATGCCGTAGTTCCGCCGCCGCCGTCACGTGCCGCCGATGCCTGGGACGCTGCTGCCGCCGATGTCTCCTGGGCGGGGGCTTCCGCCATGCCCTCACCGCCGCCTGCACGGGCTGCACCTGCTTCACCAGTTCGCCGCCGTTTACCTGCCATTCTTGCTTTGTAAGATTCGAATTGTTCTTTCCGCTCCAGCAAAGACTTTGCCGATGGACCCACCGCCGTGATGATGAGTTTTGAGACTTTTTTTGCCAGAGCTTCTTTGTGTTCTTTCCATTGTCGAAGTTCTTCTTCCGATAACTCCAAGTCGCTGGTGCCAAAGCACGCTCCATCCTCGAACTTGAGAACCTCCTGCAGCTCCGACTCTTCCTTCGCGCTGAGCAACTGGGAGAGGTTGATCGGGGCCGACACAGGCTGGAGCACCTTCGGGTCCACGTTAGCTTGGAGTAGCTGTTGATGTTTGGCTGCCGTTTCTGCTGCAACCTTCGCTTTCTCTTCCATGTCTCTGGTGGCTTGGGCCAAGTAGTCTCGACATTCTGCTTCATATCGAACTGCTCGGTCAAGTGCTTCGGACGCCTTGCGAGCTTGCGCTCCTGCTTGATTGAGGTCGTGCTCTCGCTGAAGTTCTGGGCGTAGCTTGGGCTTCTCTGCGGCCTTCTCAGGCGGCGCCGCCTTAGCCTCAAGGGCCTGTAGTTCTGCTCCTGCCTCTGGATGCCGTCGACGAAGGGCTTCCAGTAGCTGCTGAGTGGTGGGCGCGAAGGGCGACGAAGCTGGAAGGGCAGTGCCTCCTGGAGCCCCGCCACGATGCCAGCTGCCTGGCGCCACCCCGTTGTTCGCGATGCCCATGCCCTGCACGAAGGGACTGCCGCCGCCTGCTGCTGCTGCAGGCTGCGAGGGTGGGCCGTAGGCCCAGGCGCCCGAAGCTGGTTTGGGCCAATCATTGGCTGCGGGACACAATGCTCCTCCACACTGCCAACACTGAGAATGCTTACGCCAATTCCAGCGATAGCCACAAGACGCATGAGGGCATATCTGGAATCCTTTCTGCTGCTGCTGCTTCCCCATCGCGGCGGCCGTCGGGAGAGGGTAATCGTGAGTGAACGCTGCTTGGGGTCGCGAACCCCAGGCCAGTGAGTCTCAAGGTTTTCTCTTTTTTTCACACGCCTCAACTGCTCGAGCGAGGTTGGAAGTTCAGGAGAAGGCCCCTTGAGCCAAAATGGCTACGGCCTCCTCCTCCTCCT